ACTTTTAGGTCTTGGCATATGGGACTTAGATGACTTGTCAAGCTTGGGCCTCATACAGCTGTGCCAGGAGGCAAAAAAGGTAGTTTGGGGAGACAAAAATATTTGCTTCACCAACCTCTATGTTTGGCTCCTCAGTAGGTTTGATTTTGTATTCCCGACCGGGCATGTGCTCTCAGGGAACACGCATAATTCAGGCCAATTGTATGAGATTGGAGTACAAAGAGAAGCCCTACTTAGGCTCTGACATTTAGCAAGCCAAGAGGTTTGAAAATACAGCCAAGTCAATTGCCTAGCTTGGCTGTACGAACCAAAACACAAGCCTCGGCACTGGAATTGATTATGTACACATGAAAAGAAAATACATAAAATGATACATAAGGTTCTTGTAACCTCCAAGAACTAATGCCAGAATATTCTCATTGGCTTGGTCCTTCCTTGGCTCACCAGCACAGGCGAGCACAGAACTCAGCTGAGGCCATGMTTAAGTTTTCATCAGATTAACTCTTCAGCTCAGGTCAAAGCACCCCTTTTCACATGCTCTAAGATCTAAGTTTTCCCCCAAGCYCCCAGGGAAAGCAGGTTCTAGTAGCTGGCTAGATGAATACAGGATTTATAACTCTTAAAACTAGTGCAAAAGGTACTATAGCTGCCCACGAGAGGGAAGTAAATTGAATTAAATGAGATTAGGAATCTACACAGCAGTAGCAAAGTCAGGAGAGTGTCTATGCTAAACAGACAAGCCTCCAAAATACTTCATGAGCCAACCTCAGATAAAAGGCATTTTTCCTATGATATAGATCACATTTATCTCTCAACATGAGTTGAAGTCCTTGTCTGTGCATTTGTTAGCTTAATTACACTTAATAATTCAGTTAGGAAGCTTAATCCATACTGACTACCACGCTGATTAAGAAAATTAAAACCTGTAGGCACTGAAATGTAATATTTCTTGGAGGAATATAGTCTATTAATAAAATTCTTCCCAATGCAAATATTTGTGCCTTTATGGAGTATTTCACTATCCTCCGGAAAGATAAATTTTATTCCATTTGAAATATTTGACATGATTAATGTAAAATACTTTGAGGAAGGGCTTGAAARCAGGCATTATTATTTTACCAAATTCTATTACAATAACAGGGACACTCAGCATTTCCCTGGAAAAGACCACAGATAACATGTGAAGTGTTTTCCAGCCACCCTTGTGCCAGGTGCTATTGGCAGCTGAGATGATCACTTTCGAGTTTCTCTGAAAAATGATTCAAGCCTTTATCCACAGAGCTAGATGACTTTCTAGCTTTGYTAGTGCACAAGCACCTTTCCATTCCAAAACACAAAGTTCCAGTGCTCAAAACAAGTAAAATTTTCCTGGAGGACAGAGAGAAGCCAAGGGTGACCCTGGGCGAACTAGTAATTAGCTCCCTTTGGATAATGCTCTAAGACCCAGAGTTTCTTTGCAATAGTCCTAGCCTTAGTGTCTCTCTAAGAGGACTGCCAATGCATATTGATATTGGCCATCAAGAGCTTGCAAAACGCAACACTTTGTTGCCCATTCTGTTGGAGTCCAACATTCAGGTATCATCATCTTCTTAGAAACACGCTGCTCTTGTGCCAGCTAATCCAGGTACAAATGATCTCATCTATAGGGTTAGACAGGGTAAAGACTCTCATTATAGCCCCTCAGCTAATACTCCGTGTGACTTCAGTCCAAGTTTACTGGCTCTTCTCTAGGTTTTTCTGCTGCCCTCATTACCTCACTCTTCAGCAGTGAATGAGCAACACACCAACCTGCCACCCAGCTGCTCTGACTACGTTGTCGGTGTTAACTTCTCACTCAAAGCTAGTTATGAACACATCTCCTGTTTTATTACCTGACAAGGAAAAGTCTTCATGTGACCTCCAATTAAAACTCAATCTGCATTTTAATTAGAACACTGTGGCACACACGATGGGGGAAGATGTCACTCACATAGACTAAGTCTCCTAGCCCAAACCCAGGGCCAGCTGGTAGAAAGCTACACTTCACTCCTCCAGGAAACCTCTGCCAGCTCAAAGATACCCTTCTCTGCCACCAAGCACTACTGACAGCGAGTACCAAACTCAAGCCACTCCGTCCACCTGGGTACTTCACAGTTGCTTGCTTTACGCATTTCCTTTCAGGATTTCTCAGCTGAATGCATGAGCTACTGGACAAAACAAGCAGCTTTGATTAAATAAAAGGGAGTAGTGAGAAAATCAGTCATTGCAGACACAAGCTTTATCCAACACAGTCTTCAGGCTGTCTCTCTTCCTTTAAATGCCTCCTCGCAATTAATTTCTTTGTTAATTAAAAGCAAAGAAAWTTCTGCAAAAACCTCCTCTTCACAGCCCTTAAGCCATAGCCAGGTTGAGCTCTTTTGCAGAGTGCAGCAGTTTGATGTTCTCACTACCCTTCTTCCTCTCCCAGGTCTCTCATTAATGTGTTATAACCAATATAGGTCTCTCAGCACACCCKTAAGCCTCCAAAGTGGGCCTGACTAGATAGAAGTAGACCTCTATTCACATTTTAATATGATTATTGGATTTTGTCTTTGGATTGAAGCTCCTCCAGAACAGGAAACTCACCTCAGCCAGCTTGACTGACTTCTCTGACACTCTTCACACACATTTATCATCAAACACTAAAATAATTTACTACTATTCCGGTTACTCCTAAGGGTAGTGATAAGCTAGCAAGCAATTCCTTTTCAAATTTTAAAAGCTGTATCCTGATAACAGCATACTGTAGAAATTCAACAGTGTATTCTTGCTCTTCTATGTAATATGAAGTTCAGTCCTTTCCAATTTAAAGATATTTCATTCGAAAGTGCTTTTGCCTTATAATAAACAGATAATAAAAGGATTCTTGGTTTCTTGCAATAAAAACAGCAAAGGCTATAACTGCTACTTTTTAAAGGGGCACATGGGACTATTCTTCAATTTTACTCATTGGCTGTGGAATCTGTACTCATTAAAAGCAAAATGTTGAGATCTGATTACTATTAGTAGTTTTAAAGCTTGCATTTCTACCCCTTTAAACAGAGGCAAAATGGGATGCCGTGCTTTCACTTTCCATTTTCAGACCTTTTTACTTCCTGTTGCAATGTGGCACCCTAACGCAAAATCTGGATTTCCTAGAGTGCAAAGGAACAAGCGACTATCTACGCATATTTCCTTTTAGAATTTTTTTTTTGTGTTTCCTTGGAGATGTAAAATATTTTCGGTTGTTTATAAATATACTTTTTTTTTGCTGCCAAGTAGGGGAGTGTATAGTAAAATGGRCAGACTCCTTACTCGTACAACCCTGGGTCCATACAAATCGACTCAACGGGTACAATTTTTCTATATATCCCCCATGTTTTTTATTTAGGACATACGACGTGACTGCAAGGTTCATGATGTATCTGAAATGATATTTGGGAGCTCTACTGTCTCCCACAGCTGAGAGAAAACTTAAGTTTATGTTTTATGAAAACCTGATATTTCAAAATCTGTTTTCTTTTCTAAATAGAACCAGAAAAATCTAATCAGCCTTCTTAACACAAACACTCTTAACATAAAATGTTTTTCTGAACAAACTATACATTTCAAGACTTACTGGTAACATAAATTGCTGTAAAAGCAAATATTTTTCCAGTGGTTTTTGAGTTTGTGTGATCAGGGTTGCAATGAATGTTACTATTTCCCACATAAAGAAATTAAAAATAAAAAGGTATGTGCCAACTGAATTATTTCCATTGGATCAAATGAACACATCTAATCCTAATTTCAGAATTTAATTCTGAGCATTTATTGATGGAACTAAGAAATATTAAATATGAGCAGTCATTCTGAGTGCAAAAATGCACTGTGCCTTCTGAAGATATTGCCATGAAATTACAGACATTATCAAGGGATGTYTTTGCCTTAAAAATAAATGGATAAATGGGACTAAATTGTTGCTAAAGAGCTTCCAAGGAAATATTTAGTTCAGATAAAGATATATTTTCAGAGAAAAAAATGCCCAGTCTCTATATCTCACACATCTAGTGCAGCTTTATCCCAAGAGTCCCTTCAGGGCGGTTCATGCAGGCAGGGGAGCTCTGTGCAGTGCATCACCTTTCATTCTGAATGGGCTTATTTTTAGTGCTCTGTGTCAGAACTCAGAACTTGAGGATTTTGTTTTGGCTTTTTTGGTTTTGTCTCAGCGTGAGTCACCCGCTCTGTGCACAGCTGGCCCTGCTGTTTGTAAACAGTGGGCTGTGATCTGTGCCTAAAAACCAGGTTTTACCAGAAGGGTGCCCAGCCACTCACCTCTGCTCCGGGCTTGCTTTCTCTGCCTCCGCTGGGCATTTAGCTCCCTAATTGAGTTGAAAGTCTTCTTGTAAATGTAAAAGCAGAATAAAATCAGGAACCACAGCACTTTCAGGTGCCCCACCTCGATGTCACACGAGAGATTTCTGAACTCTTCCCTACAGTCAGCGAGTACAGATATGCGTGAGAGGCAAGCCGCGACTGCCGCCTAAGCACTTCTTGTCTGCACCCTCATTTGCAGCCTTTTACTCAGGACAGGTCTTACGGGGTAGATTCCGGGTACACATTTTGCAACACGGTGTATTGAAACCAGTGAACTAGAATGCAAAAATAGTATTATCAGCAGAAACTGAGATGACAAGCCAAATTATAAGTTTTAGACAGGAATGTAACAGTTTTAAGGCTTTTTTTTAGGAATAGAGTCTTGTCAGTGCTAGAGTCAACTCTTTTGGCAATCCTTGGGGTCATATGGATCAGCAGCCAGGTAGAGAGGGCACCTCATTGAACGTACGTATCATTGGAATTCAACTTACACACCTATATAAGCTGTCCCTTAGATATTCCCCCTCTCTGCCAAGGCAAATGGCACCATTTATGTGGAAGTGTTAAAATTAGACTGAGAAAAATAAATAAATAAATAAATAAATAAATAAATAAATAAATAAATAAGTATGCCTTGTAATACTCACAGTAAGAATCACCAGCAGCGACAGTGCATACAGATCCCCTCTCACACTATGTCAGCGATTCTGCTGCCATGCTAAAAACTGGAAGTGAAAAGTTATCGTGTTAGAATAAGTCAGAATCGGGAAGAAGTAGGGAGCCAGGCTGCAAAATCAGGAAAAAAACAGAGGGAAGTAGGTGACCAAAAAGGAGGAAGAAGATCGTTTCTAAATAATGTTTGTCTTTGCCAAAGTGGATCCCAGAGTTATCAGCTAACCGAGTTTGATAGAAGAAAAACTACATCTTAACCCTGTTTTATATGGCAATGCACAGAAACATCTGTTCATGCCATTTCTATGGCTCAATTCCTCTACTGCCCCAAAGGAAACAATACCCACCTCAAAAGAATTATAAAGAAATTTTATTGCTATTTTTTTTTGCCGTCTAAAATATTGAGCTGCAGAAATGCAAGTTTATTTCATAACAGTTTCTCGATAACAAAGTTCTCGATCTTCAAAACATTATCCAGAAATAAGCCAGATATTTCTGCTCAGCTGAACCCAGCTGGCTGTGTGGAAAACATTTCAGAATGTACCACAAATCTCTTTTTTTCTCTTATGTCTGTTAATTCATTTAAAACAAATCAATTAAATGTCCTAATTATAACTGAAATATATAATTGTATTATGCACTCAATTTGGCGCATACTAATGAAGCAATCATCACCTTCTTATTAGTCACTCCTCAAAACTAAATCCAAATCCAAGCTAAAAAAATGTTTTCCTGTATCTTYAAATATGAGAGTTGATCCATTTTTCACTCCTTTCTCAACTTGCAACTTGAGCAAAACAGGCAGAAAAATACACCAGGTCTTTAGGTTTTCTTTTCTTTCTTTAGTCAAAATTTGAAGGAGTTCATAATACATTAAGCTCGTTTATAAATTAGTGACTATATTTAACATATATTTTTAAAAGGGCTGCCTGTATCTTTTTCCAAAAACCATTTGGAAAGCATAAAGTTAAMAAGACAATACAGAGCCATTTTAAAATTACTCTGCTCAAACGCCTACTTTGAGGTAGGCTCTTAACCAAGGAGGGTTTGATTTTTAAAAACTGTGAACACCCTTCACGCTGTGCGTTGACATCAGTTGGAGGTGGGAGTACTCAGACTACTCATTCTCACACTCGCTACCATTTCATAGGTAAATCTCCCCCTTGGGTCATGCACGCGACCTGTATGAAACCAAGCATGAAACCAACTGACCTACCTACTGGGAGAAAGAACAGTTCAAAATAGAATTTGCATACCTTACTACAAGCAAGGTTGGTGAAATACATTACCAAAGGATTCTCATCTCAGTACCACTACAGCTTTTTCTACTTACTCTGCTTTCAAAAAGCAGAAGCAAACCTGACAATATCATTAAAAGAGGTAGAAGTGGTGGGAGGGTGTAAAGAAATTGGACTCAGTCCCTTCACAGTGGTGCTCGATGGCAAGACAAAAGGCAAAAGGCACAAATTAAAATCAAGAAATTGCACCTGAACATGAGAAAACTCTTATTAACTGTGAGAGTGGTTGAACAGAGGTGGCCCAAAGATGTTGTAGTGATTCCATCCTTGGCAATATTCAAACCTGTCCACACATGGTTCTGGAGAACCTGCTCTAGGTGGCCCTGYCTGAGCAGGGAGGTTGGACCAGATAATCTCCAGAGGTACCTTCCAACTCCAGCTCTTCTGTGGTTCTGTGAAGTTGTGAATCATGGAAGTTGTCTGCAGACTTATTTGTCCAGTCAATGGATCAAACGCAAGAGATTAAGACTAATGGRCCAAGATCAAAACCCTAAAGCTCTCCTCCTCATGGGCACTCCGTCACTAGTGTCAGCTGGAGGTGCTGAGATGGCCCCTGTGTCTTTTCCACCCTCCTCAAGCTACTGCCACCACGGCTGTTGCTGGGGCTGGTACTTTCAGTCGCTACAGAGGTGAGGACAGGATGGCGCATCAAGCTGGAGGCCACCCAAGAGCTAAGAGGAATTGAAGGAATGGAGGGTGTCTATAGACTACCAAATCCAACATATGGCATTGTGAAACAAAAAAGCAGAAAACAGTAGGCTTAATTCAGCACAGCCTTAGCCCTCCAGAGCCCTGCAGAGCTCTGTAAAGTGGACATGCATTCCTGGAATACCAACTCACAGGAGCAAAGGTTAGCTCCCTAATTTGTTACAGTAGGCGTGCAATGCAACCAGATGAAATATTAATAAAGAATGTGATCAGATAGCACACAGAAAGTGTACAGCAGAGAGGAATTTGGCCTGCAGGCTATGAATCTGGGACCCCCCAAAATATATTTCTGCTAGGCACAATATTCTTTCCTATCAGGGCTGAGCTGCTCAAAGTCCTGAATTCTTCATACCTCGGATGTGTCCTCTGCTTTGTGATCACTAGACTACTTCACACCAAATCTAATTTAGACGAAAAGTATTTTGGGGAGTGTGCTTTGCCTGCCTAAACAGAAATATTACAGCAGCTACTTAGAAGGTAATTGATAAATGCATAAAATTACTACTATTCAAACTGCAAATCAGTTAGCAGAATTCAATGAAAGTTTAAACATTTTACTGCATTAATGATATAAATGCATAAATTTATGGAGAACAGCATCCAGGCATTTGGCAGTCTTCCACTGTATTTACTTAAAGGTGATAATGCATTTAAAAAGCACTTGAAGCAGAATTTGTATTAAGTACTACTAAATGTGCATAGATTTATTAGCATAAGCTTTTAGACCGTCTCTGCCTGAAGCAAACCCTATTTTACTTCTGGAAATTAAAAAAAAAATACAGTGATACATCATTTTAAGACACATCAGAGAGCTCGGTATGGTAGTTATTTTAAAATATTGTATTTCTTCATGACAAGTGTAGTTTTGTAGCCTTTAGCTTTTATATAACTGACTGGTAGGACTGCCTAAGAAATGTTGAAAATACCCGCAGGACTTTTCATTTACACTTTGGTGAAAAAAAGTGTAGTTTAGGAAATTCTCTAGCATCTCCAGAGATTAATGATCGGACACCACTAGCACCTTCAAATGACCTGACATTTCAGACAGTGTTAAAGTCCTGAAGAAAAATCAGATGCTTTTAGCCGTGTGATGAGTAGGGCATTCTGTGTTCTGGTGAGACCTTTCAAATGAAGAACCCTATTAATTCTTACAACAGATATGAGCACACACTGCAATAAAATATTTGCGCCTGCATGGATATTTTCATTGAAGTGAAATCAGTGGAAGATCTTGAAARAGCAGTGGGAATAAAGCAATGCAATTTAGTTGGTCTGGCAAAAAAGGATTTGTGTGTGTTGTGTGTCACACAACAGCCACAGGTCACAGCAACTTGTGACTGAATCTCACCTGCATTAGCTTATTTCCCCTCTTTCTAGCACCAGTGTGCCTTCCCCTCACATTTAATAACATACAGTCTGTTTTAACACGGGCAAAGGCTCGTGCAGGAAGAATCTGGAAGGTGGCCTGAGATGGGAGAGATCATTTTGTTCATTCCCCTGCTAATGGCTGAATATTCCCCAAAGTGTAATCTAGGGAGTYCAGTCCATTCGACTTTAAACTGATTCAGGCAGTGCCTTTATTTACAGGYACCGAGTTTGGATTCTTGTGCTGCTACATCACCGAGAGCTGAGAAAAGTTTGAGCCTCCATCCCCAGGCTTGGCCTGCCRTATTTCTTGCAGAGCTGAATTTAACGTTGCCGCTGCCTCGTGTCCCGTGCAGTCTGCAACACACAGCGCGTGTGCAAACACAGCCCTTCTGGTCTGCTGCAGAAAGGCTCGTCTGGCACTTGCATTTTTTGTGTATATTCGCAGGGCAGGTCCCCTTGTCCCGGCTGGTGCAGGATCTGAACATGCAAGCAGCGACGAGTAGGTGACAGAGCTTTCCCTTTAGTGAAAAAAACCCTCTCTAGGATTCTTCTCAGCAAGAACTTTAAATGTACCTGAAAGCAGAATTTGGCTTACAGAATACTGCTCTGTTTTAGTCCCTACAGCTTTTCATTAAATCACTCTCAATGTGTAAAAAAACCAGGAGTGCTGTTATAGGGCTTTGTATTAGTTAGCAACTGCTAACAAGTTGCCCCATTAAAAACAGTAAACATAAATCATTTATTGAGTTTATGCATTTTTAGTCCACTTGAGAATATTTTTGGCTGCGCTGAGAAATAAGTAAGGGTGTTAATTATTATCTTACTAGAGTAATCAGTTAATAAGGCAGTTATGAGAGATGTTTGTTAGGAGGCTCTGTGATGCCCTGAAGCTACTGAAGTCATTGTCTGGGGAAGAACACCACCACGTAGTCAGTAGGAGTCTGATGGCACCGGACCAAAACCCTCGGGGCCTCTGTCTGCAATTAGCTGAGAGGAGGGAGCAGACACCGGGTCTGAGCCGGGGAACTGTAAACAAGTGAACAGGTAGGAGCTCCCAGCCTAGGTCTTCTGGAAGAGGAGAATGTCTGGGGCCTCCTTCAAGAAGGTTAGGAGTGTTCAGCGCACGGGGAGTGGTGTGGGAAGAGGAGAGGTGAGAGGCTGGTTTCCTCCAGCAAGCTGGGGCTATCGGAGCCCCTGTTTGGGCTCTGCGACCTCCATGCCCTGGTGCAGCTGCAGGTCTCATCTTCACCATGTGCCAGCTCCCACGCCAATCCATGCTCAAGTAAGTTACTGTCTGATGAAGCTGAGCTCCTTGAGGAATATGCAGTCCTGTTTTCCCTGAAAGAGTGTCTGATTTCCTCCCCAGGCTTCTCCATGCCCTAAGACTGGCTCCTTCTTCTGGTGTGAGGATCTCAAAAGCTTTCAGTCCCCAGCTGAAGGGAACAGATCCCTTATTCATTCTTCTGCTGCACCGCTGCCTGGTTCACATCCAGACTGCTGTGGTAATGCCCATAGCCCTCTGTCTGACCACGGCCACATGGCCATCACACCCAACAGATTTCCAGAGGTCCATTCCACATAAATCACTCTCTTCCAATCCASAGGCCAAGGAAGGAATGAGTCTGCAGATTAAATAACCTTCTTCAGATGAAAATTTCCCAGAGTTAAGATTCAAGGGCAGACGTGCAGAGGGGCATCTGTCTGGTTTCTGCCTGGTTAGTGATCAGCACCTTCCATAATCTGTTCACCATGGTCATAGCAGTGGTGACAAGAACTAAATGTTTCCATTAGTGACTTGCAGAAGGAAGGTTAACCCAGTCTCCTGAAGCCAAAGGAAAACCACAGCTGTCTGCCCTCAACTTAGGGTGTGTCAAGGAACCTGTCCATAAGGGAAGTGTTTCTGGTTATGAATTATATGCTAGAAAATCCCCAGGGCCATTTCAGAAATGCACTTCGAGGTGCTCCARGGGCAGCCTGTACCAGAAGTTAAATTTTCCCTGTGAGACAAGAAATACTACAATAGTTGATGGAAAAGGGAGGGGTAAAAGTCACTTTCTTATGTACTTAAGTCAAATAGTCTGGCTTCTTTCTGCCCAGCATCAATAGAAGATAATTTTATGGACCTGTCATGTATCTTAGCCAAGGACACAAAAGGATCTGTAGGGAGGCCAAGAAGTGAACCCAGGTCTCCTGACTTTATACTGTGGGATCTCTGTTGAGTATTTTTTCTTTCATAAGATTTATCAAGATTATTAACAAATTAGTGTAAATGCTCCATGGCCCAGAGCAAACGCTGTCCCAAGGAACTCTTGATAGAAGAACTTAGATGGAAAATAATATTAGATATATCCAATTGATTATTTAATAATATATCATTTTTTATGCTGGAGCAATTTGCTCAGACATACATCACAATTTCTGAAACCTCAAAATATGATCTCGCTGCGGGACTTATTCTGTCAGGAAGAGCATCTTGCTTGCAAATATTGCACATTTTCACTAATCCCTTCATCCTTCTTACCTACCTCTGTACTCTAGAGCACCTAGCACTGTGGGACCTCACTTTAAATGGGAGTTACTGTAATATATCAACAAAATACATCATATCAATATATCAACAACAATAMTAATGTTTTGTTTGCCTCCAAAAGGAGATCTGAAGATCTTCCTTGGACAACCACTATTCTGACAGTTCTAGAGAAACTCCTCCTTAACACAGACACTGAGACACTTTAGAATGATTATACAATTTAAACGACACTTTGGCTTCACTTTTAAAGAGAATTTGGAGATTCCTTCCCCTAAATTCAGAAGGGGCTCCATCTATTTCTTAATAAGAAACCTTCATTTAGAAGGTTTCTGGAAATAATCATAAATATAATCAAGATAAAGTTTTTCGTTTAAAACAGAGAAATTTAGGAAATTTTTGCATTACTTTGCATTAATTATGCAATTATTTTTGCCTAACTGAAACAAGTTTTGCTTCAAAAGCMAAGACTTGGCCATATTTCAGGTCCCCGCGTCGAAGCATGGATGGCATAAATCCATCATCAATGTTTTCTTACAGCTGTGGTAGCTGACACATCTGAATCAGTGGGAGCTAAAAGCATGCCCGAAGAAACTAGCACCATCAAAACACATCAGAGGAAGACAAATAGCAAGTGCTTCTCTAATGCACCTGACTGCTGACGGAACAATATTAGCTGGGCTTTCTTCAAAGTGGCCACGCGTAAAAATGAGTTCATAATGACCAAATGTCTCTCCGTGAAGGAATTGATTTAAATGTATCAATTAAAAATTAGCCCCTGTATCACTAGAGGGAAGTTTTTGAGCATACTTAATGCAAAAAGCTTAGTAGCATTCTTCTTCAGGTTCATCAAGTATCTCAGATGATGCTGCACACGCACCGCTCCCCACTTCCAGTGGAAATGACTCCCTGATCCACTTAAGTCGTTGTAAAACCTTGATTATATCCATGTCAAATGGGTTTAGTTCAGAATAGAACTGCCCAGAAAAATGATTCCTTCCTCTGTGGTAAAACATTTCTATTTCATTAAAAAAAAAAAATCATAATGATTAAGCAAGCAATTCTGGATAAAATCATTTCCAAATTTTCTTGTGAAAAATGCATGTCAAAAAGAATATTTTTCCTCAAACAGTTCAGACCTACTCCGACAGTAGTTCTCGATTCAAATAAGCAATATATTTGCTGGTAACTTTTTGAACAAAAGCATTATTTGCTATAGAAGATTAACCTGCGGTAGGTGTGCCTGCTTGAGCAGGAAGGTTGGACTAGATGATCTGTAGAGGTCCCTTCCAACCTTAAATATTCTGTGAATCTGTGAACCTAAGTTAATTCAAATCAAAATAAGGTTGTAACTTCAATCTGTGTATGAAGAGAGTGCTAAGAATTACTCCTGGAGTACCCAAATGTACAAGACACTTCTGTAAAAAGGACTAATTTTTCTCATATTCTCTCCAGAATATTGGGTTACTGTCACRCAAATAATGAAATTAGAGGAAGCAGTGTCAATGCCTTCTGTAAGAAAGATTAGATTTGGAYTTTCCTTTGCTATCTGGATATAATCTGGATAGAACTGCAGGAATCCTGTGAAATTCAGTGCTTTGAAATCTTGATATTACAAATATTTGGCAGTATTTATGCTACATAAAGCCTGCGGGCATTGTGTTAGCCTAAATGCTTCAGTATTTCCGCTGTATGATCCTACTACAGTATCAAAAAGAAACATTTGAAGAATTGTTTTTAAAAATACATAAATTTATGACTTAATGTTCAAGGATGATGTTTAAAGAAATCTGGAATAGTATTAATCATTTAAACTACTCATCTATTTAAACACAAATGTACTGCTAGATGAATACGCATATCCTGGTCACATTAACCTGCCTTTACCAAAAAAACACTTCATGTGATACAACAAAAGGCAGCAAAAAAATGAGTCATTACCACCTAAATCTAAACTAAGACTTTCAAAAAACTGAAATGACAGAAGATTTTAAAAAGCTGTGCTTTGGTATTTCTGGAATAACATGCCTCCACTTGTATGGCCAGATTTCTTTACGATTTTTTCCCCCAGTCATTCAGAACAGAACAGATTTGGTAAATCAGTGCTTGATTCATCAGTTCTTTGGGACTTGGGACCTCATAGCACTGCGCAACATCAGTGATGATACCATCAGGAAGCGTGAGCGTCAATCTGCAACGCCTTCGTTGCAACAAGGCCACTCTGCGGTCTTGTGGAAGAGAACAAGGTTGAGGCTCAGTTCTTAATTTCTCAATCTGCCAACCTGAAACAGGAATAGCASGAGGGGCATAGAGGCACATTCAGGCTTCCAACATCTTCCTTGGTCACTGCATCAGTTTAAACAACTGTAATTTATATCCCATTCACAGCAGGAATAGGAAGCAGGAACCTGCTTTGTAGCCRCCGCTCGTTTTTCATGTGTTCCGCCCAATGCCATTATTCCAAGGTTGGCTTATGCAACTCTTCTATTTATCACTGCTTTGTTTTTCCTTTTGCTGCAAGAATCGAGTTGACAGCTGAACACATGTACCTACAACATGAGATCATGCTCAACAAGAAAAAAACTAATTATGATGTTAATAGTCTTGGCCCGTTCCCTGAATACTCTCCCAAAGACAGAAACGCACCACAACCGCGCTGCCCTGGGAATGGCAAAGATCATCAGCAGCAACGCAACAGACTCCTACTCACACTCCGTGAGCAGTATCCTGAAGTCAAGACTGCAGGAGAGATTAGTCTCAGAATCACAGAGCGGTTGAGGTTGGAAGGGACCTCTAGAGATCATCTAGTCCAACTTCTCTAGCAAGGACATCCTGAGCATGGGGCACCCAGTCCRATCCAGGTGGGTTTGGAAGATCTCCAGAGAAGGAGACTCCACTGCCTCCCTGGGCAGCCTGAGCCAGGGCTCTGTCACTCTCACAGTAAAGTACTTCCTCACATGCAGCTGGAACTTCCTGCATTTCAATTTGTACCTTAATAGGTCCCTTGTCCTGTCACTGGCTACCACTGAGAAGAGTTTGGCCCCATCCTCTTTACATTCTCCTCTCAAGCACTCAATTCATATTGACAAGATCCCCTCTCAGTCTCTCTCCTCCACGCTAAAAAGGCCCAGTTCACTTAGTCTTTCCTCATCAGATAGATGTTCCAGACCCTTCATCATCTTTGTCGCTCTGCGCTGGACCCTACCTAGAAGCTCCACATGCCTCTTGCACTGGGCAGCCCASAACTGCACACAAGAGTCTCCTRGCTGGAAGAGGGGACCTGCAGCCCAGGCAGGACCAGCGGGTGTTCCTCCACAAGCTTCCCAGGAAGGTGTCTCAGCTGGAGAACTCAGACCCACCCACAGTTTTGCAACCCACTGACATTATTCCTGATGTGGTAGGAATTAAGATCATTCTGTATTGTTATATGAACACAGTGTATCCTTTCTGCACAGCAAAAGCCTCCAGCCACAACAGCAATAAGAATTAAAACCACACTCATAAGATGTCCAGATATGGTATATATTTTATCATTATTTTGCGGACATATGTTCTCTGTGACTTGGATCACTTATTTTCTTTTTGTTTTCAAAAGCTAACACATGGTCCTCAACAAAAATTACACTTAATGTTTTATTTGTTGAACTCAGTTAAAATCACAGCACTTGTTTTGCGGAGTTTTACATAAGAATGTGCTGTTTTGTAATGACTTTTATGTAATTTAATTTCAGTAAACAGGCCTGACATAATTCCGAGAGTCTACACAGAGTTTGTGAATTCAGTATTAGGGACTTGAATTTTATACATTTATTCATGTCATGCCTAAAATTMTATTTGTGTCTCTGTATGGAGATAAAACTCACAACAGGTGACAGGATAAATCCTTCCATATTATTTGGGGTCCTCTGTTCCCTGCTTCAATGCTTATCTATCGAAATCAAGCACTACTGAGCAAAAAAAAGGTGACTGGCATATAAGAAAACCATTTCTCAAGCCCAAATTCCAAAGAGGTGGGAACGGCACAACAGATTGCCTCGTGGAAGGCCTGGATTTCCTGGTTTCTCATCCACATGGATGAGGTTGGACCTTTGGGTAAGTGGGTACTTAACTAGGAGGAATTCAGGGATTAACACTGACCTTGAGGGGGAGGCCCTGGTTTGGGGTTGCAGATGGTGTTCCTGGTGTTCCTGGAGTCCAGGAAATCATCGGGACGGCACCACAGCCAGGAGAGTCTTGGAGAGGTTGGGCCGCAGTGTATCARTCCACACACAAGGCCAGGGAGCTGTGCCAGGGCTTTCAGACACGGTTCTGCTGTAACGGTGAATCAGAACAGGGTCAGACATGATTCACAAAAGCAGTAAAATTCATCACTGGCAAGCGAGGGAGTGAGGAGCCTGCTCGCTTTTGAAAATCCCACTGCATGTCTTACCATGGCAAGAATTACCCACCAGCACTTAAAAGTAGGTGCCAAACCACCTTTGAAAACTGAARCTGTGTATTTCTGACACTGTTTCCCAAGAACTGACTGTTTCTCCCGAGGAGGCCCGTGGAACACAAGCTTGGGCTACCAGGTTTGTAACCCTCCAGACCATATTTCGTGGCCTCATCCTCCATTGTCTGCTTTCCTTCCTCCTTTCTGCCTCTTCCGCTTTCATGCAAACAGCTACTGAGCTGCTTGACATCTCGGAGCATTTTGACATCAGAGGTGAAATCGATTGCGCCAGAGAGAAACAGGATGAGCAGAGGAAGAGGGAAGAGGGCAGCACACGCGCGAACAAGCTCGTCRCATCCTAGACGCTGCCCTTGGGTCGTGACCGTGTCCTGCACCCAACTTCTCCACACGATTGCCCGGGACTCACCCTCCACCCTCGCTTCACTCCGAGCTGCACTGCGAAGGGTTAGAAATGCTCAGCATGCGTGTTTTAAATTAGCGCTAATTCATTTTGATACGCTTTGTCTCGGATGCACAGACAAAAGGGCTGCAGCGGGTTTGAAAAAAATCAAAGGCAGGTTTGCCTGGGAGATACACATCAAGGCCTGCCTGTGTCTCTGGAGTGTTGCAATCCGGCCCATGGCAACCAGGGAGATGCAAGTTCTCCTTTCTGCAGTACAAGTTTGGAAAGCAAAACAATTTCTTCAATCTGAAGGAAAAAAACCAGCTTCAGAAGACTGGTTACCAGGACTTCCTCTGCATTTGTGAGGACTGACCGAGGTCAGAACCACAGATCCAGCAAAGTCAAGATTAAGCCCATTGCCTAAAGAGATTATTATTATATTTAGATTTTACATTAGGGTTTCGAGTTAGGGTATTASTAATTTGCCAGTTAGAGCAGGGAGGAAAATAATGAAGTTACAGTCTTTTGTTATACAAATGCAACTTGAGATTTTCTTAGGATGTTATCTATCAGCCTGTCTGGCAAACGTCTGTCTGGCAATAATAAGGCCGTCTGCTGAAACAATCCTAAATAATGCAACATTATATCAATAATTAATAGGCACATAGGTCAACAAGTTCAAGATTGTTACAGGCAAACTAGATCAAACGGAAATGCTTCATTTCAGGCAGCTGCTATGAGCCCAAAAAGACCAAAGCTTCGTTGAAGAAGTGGTGAGACGAGAGTGTTTATGAGCACGAATGCCAGAGCGCGGAGCGCTGCAGACAGGCCTGTCCTACGTGACGTCTGCTCGATCCAGGTTTATCCACAGAAACCAGGGATCTGCTGCGGTGGCAACTCTGGGGGAATAAGGTATCCTCCAACTTTAGGAAAAGGAGCAGAATCGGTCCTTTGATTAATCCCTTTGATTAATCCCTTCACTCAGGTTTCCAGAAGTACTTGTGGTCACCACCAAAAGAAGCCAKAGTCATTTTTAGATGATGCCAAGAGCTCTGAATGCTTCTTTATGCACCTTGATGCCACCCATGCACGCACGAGTTGGGCTCGCAAGTCTGTCCCTTTTTAAATGAGCGGTAGGCTCATCTCCCTTTGCCTGTGTGGAATGGGGACCCTGGGAGAAGCAGAGAGACTTTCYCTATGGATTCTCTATGTGAGAAGCCAACTCACACCAGCCCGGGCCAGGTTTTGCAGACAGACAAGCAGAGCACTGACCTGGGCTTGTAACTTCTCTCAGCATGCTTAACAGCCCCAGAATAAAGCCTGTAAAATTGGTATTGTTTATTTCAATATAAGCTGATAATAACAGTTGCTGAGGTCACTTACGGATCAAGACAATCTGCGCTTAAAGTCACCCTAAGTATTTTAAAACTCAAAATAAAAAACATCAAGCTTGCTGCACAACAATGATCACCACCAGAGAAGCTATCAACGTGGCAATACGGAGAACAAAGTATTAAAATAAGAGTAGCCCTTTTCTGAGAAGAGTGCAGAAAGTCTCAATATTTCGCCAGCCGTAATTCCTGGCCAGCTCCCAGGATGGGGGGCTCCCATCCGGTGCAGAGGGCATAATGGCATTACCCGGAATCCAGGAACGTAGCTGCAGGATTGTGGCTGCTGTTTGCTAAATTAACCAACGAGCAAGGTGGCTGGGGAGGTCTCCCTCCTCTGCAGCCACTGCCCCGTTCCCACACACCACGTGCACGTGCTGAGCTGCGCACGCGGGCACCCTGTATGGGGGGACAACGTGACAGCAAAGGGGTAAACTCTGAAATGAAAACTAAAAAATACATGCACAAAGGAAATGCAAAAATATGTGCTGCAAGCAGACCATCTTGTTAAAACAATTATACTGGATTTGTTAATATACACATGAAGAATAGAAGCATAAATATACAGGGGGATTTCTTTTTTTCTTTTTTTTTTTTTTTTTTTTTTTTGTGGTGGTGATTTTTTTTAACACAAGCCTTATATAAGAAAACATGTTAAACATCATGACTGCACTTTCAGAAAACCACAGCCTACTTACAACTCATGCAGTATAGAAGGGAAATTGAAAGTAGAAAAGAGAATCACAGGCTGCAAAGGGAGTTCTAGTAATAACTCATTTTAAAAAAGCAAATGACCAAGATAGAAAAATCCCAAATTAATATTTACAGGAAGTTTTGCTTTTCAAGTTGGGTGACAAGTTTGTTACTGAAGATTCGGTCAGRGGGATTTTCTTCCGTGCAGCATCTGAAGGCTGCTTTGTGCTCTAGCCTGTTTCTAAATAAAAGACACTGATTCTGTTCWGCCAAGGGGCTCCACCAGACTCAGAAGAGTGGCACAAATATCAGGCAAGACCAGAACACGATTCAGACCTGAACTAAGATGAATTCATAATAGGAAGGTCACACAGTCCTATAGTTCCTAGTCACAGCTCTCAATTTATTTTGAAGCTTGTATCATAGAACACGTGGCTTTTCCTTCAAAAGAGACCTAAGCTCTTAGGAGCTTCAACTGCACAGAAATGAGCCCCTAAAGGTGCGAGCCGCTTTTGGAACATGAATCTTTGATGAATTTGACAGATTTGTGCTCGATGTTCTGGCTGCAGCTGCCTGCGCTGCCCGCACAGCAGTGCCCTGGGGAGGCTCTGACTCCGCAGGAATTCACCTGGGGGGGGCTTGGGACACGGTTCAGTCACAGCCCACGCCACCCAAGTGAGAGAATTTGCATTTTACGACCATCACCTCTTACAATAACCAGCAGTGCTACTTTTCCTGTAACTTGCACCACGCCAGCGGCTCCCATCACGTACGGCAAAGGGATCCGGAGACTGAAAGGGAGTCTCTGCCACCGGGGCACCCAGGGAGCCCAACACCTCCACATCCTCCCAGTCTCCTCCTGGCTCCTGTGGGTTAAAAACACTGTTTATACCGCCTAAATTCTGCTGGTTTTCCTGGATACAGCTAAGGGGTGAAATGCATCTCTGTGCATATCTACAAGTGATACCAAGGTGTAAGACATTGTAGGAAAAGGAAGTTTGTGGTGTCTGGTCTTAGGTGGAACCTACATTTTCTGAATTAAAGGCATTACAGCTCTACAGAAATGAGAGGGCTCCTGGCAAGAGCTGCAACGTGTAATTCTACAAAGAGCCGAAGGGAAGTAGACACCCAATTCCCTTCCAATTTGAGTAGCTAATTCCCTTCTCCTCCTTTGAACACCCACCTAAGGTCACTGTGGATGTCATTAGGTTCCTTGCATCTTTCCTAAGGGTAAAGCAACAAAAGCTCTTTATTTTCCCCACGTTTAAAACTGGATTTCCGAGGTTCACTTGTAAAATAACAGCAGCTGCCTCCTAGTGCAAAAGTAATTGCTTTTATCATAACGCACATTTCACTCGACCTAACTGCCCTGAAATCAGAAAGTGCATTTGATTCTACGCATGATTCTACCCTGCCTGCTGCCTCTGGTACGGGGCTATTTCTCTGTCTCCTCTCTATGCCAGCTCCATTTCTTTTTTAAAAACCCTTCATACTAAGTAGCAAAACATTTTTTCAGCAATTCAGACAGAAGGAGAGCACTGCAAGGGGTGCTGTGTCCTTGCTGCCGAAGTTTGGGAGGGCACATTTGCTATGTACAGCTACTTGATCCCAACTCCTTTCTCACCCATATGGCAGGAGGGATTATTCTTCTCTATTCATGCCTCACAGTCCTTTAATGGATTTAGGGCACAGCTCTTAAAAATGTATAAGAGAGACAGGCATCACATGATTTTGCTATGGATATTTTATGAGCGAGTCTGGGTGCATGCTGTGTGCCTGAAACAAAAGACCGCACAATTTGCTACCAGGCCAGGATCTGTGTGATTATGCCCTGTATTCAAGGCTCTGAGAAGTATTGGGCAACCAGAGCAGCAAAACAAAGGCATGGGAGAGACACCACGATCCAGTAACTGGGTCAAGACAGCACTGATATCCTGCATTCACTGCTGCTAAGGGCTGTAATTCAGGCACTCCTCAGCGAGCCGATCAGATTTAGCTYGGCTAAATTGTCAAAGCAATTGGCAGCTTGGCTCTTCCTTTATTATCGACTACTAGCAGCTATAATTTGGGGGTTGAATTTGCTGGTTAATTGACTAAACTATTACCTTGAAATGGTTGTGCTTGCACCTCTAAGGATTTGTTTTCCCTGTTGCACCTGCAGCTGCCATTGCGAGATGCTGCAGCAGCCAGAACCCCTCAGCCATCGTGATTCACTCACGGATGGGGCTCACAGCTGCACGGCTTCCTGGGTTAAAGGCTTTGCTCAACACTAATGATGTTAAAACATCTGCATCTCTTAAGTGTGTTGTTAAAGAAAACTACACGGGAAAACTGTTTTTCTTCCGAAGTTGGGATGTACTCAGCACTAGGT